GGCAACTTGGAACAGAAACAATTAACTGTTTCCACAGCCACAAATAAAATTTAAACAATTTGTTTATTTTTAAAACATACAGCCACATTGTACTATCTGCTGTGTTCACCGCGGGGAATTGAACCCCGGATTTTAGTGCTGTAAGTCCATAAACTTACCGCTGTCCCACTGGGAGACACAATTCAAACAGAAACATTTAACTATTTCCACAGTCGAGATAGGAAGCATAGTAAAAGTCCTGTCCAAAGCTTTCTAAAGACTCCACTTGAGGAAATAAACAAGGATTAACCGATTAATTTCTGAAGTGAATAATGCCATTTTAGTAACTTTTAAGCCTCAACTTTCTATTTCAAAAGAAAGAAAAAACGATTTTTGCAGTTTTTCATCGTGTGATTTCTGCTCACTGCTTAACTAATTATTAAGTAATAAACATTTAACCATTTCAAGCTGAGACAATAATTTCCGCTAGTCTTATACTCTCTTTTGAAAACATTGATGGTCCAACAAGGTAAGGCTTTACATAATAACACATGAGAATGGTTTGTTTTTATCTTCCTTTGTTTCTGTATATTACCCACAATAAAAAAGTACTTATATTAATGACATCGACATCTTATGCAAAATAAATGAGTCATTATTACATAACCCTTTTTTTTTGGTCTACAAGGAAATTATTTTTACAATGAAATAATTTATGTAATATCATCTAAATTTACTTTAAATTAGCAAAAAATAGCTATTTTTAATTTTTACATTTTCTTCCATTTGTCAAGTAGAAACATTTGGAAGAGAATAGATTCTTTATTGTTCTTAGTGTATATATGCTTAGTAGCCGACTGGGAATTCAAGTTTCGAGAATGAGATGACTTATTGTTGCTTTCAGTGGAGATGTGCTAGGTGGCCTGGTGTCTTCTGTTGTGTGATAACTCTAGTTCAGAAGTTTTTTTTACTTTTGTTACACCACTATTGATGTCAGACATAGCATGAGTTTTGGAGACGTAGCATGAATTTAGGAGATACTCTGGATTCGCGTGCAAACTAGTGTGAAATTGGATATCGGATCCTAACTCTTTCTTTCTTTCTGAATATCACGCGATCACTGAGTTATACAAGTTGTACCTGAAACAAATTTTCGTTGTAGGTACTAAGCTTGTCTTCTTTTTGGTCACAGTACGAAGTGCAAGTTTGGGTTTGGTCAGCAAAGTTTTGTGTTACAAATGTGTATTAGTGTGTGTCTTCATAATACCTCTGATTGGGATTGGAAAGTACCCTTACACTACACACAAGAAGGAGCTAAGGGGTTCAGCTCCACTTTCTGGGTACCTGATGTTATCATATTGTGGGTCTGGAGCTGAGAATTCGTGAGAAAGTCTTCGTTACGAACATCACACTGAAGCTTTCTGGGGTCATCGGTCCTTTTGTTGTCAGTTTTATGAATATTAGAGCTAGACACAGTTAGTTCATTATTAACTTGGTCGTGGTCAAGAGTAATGGCAACCATTTATCGTTTCTTTACTTAACGATCGTTGGGTGATCACTTGGTAGGTCACACAAGGAAGAACTGATAGGTTGGTCACTAGTAACATTAACCAAAGGCACAGAGTCTTTTAAATGGCGTGTTTGGACGTGTTTATCTAACAAATACTCTACATGGAAATTCTCACCGCAAAAGCCACAGGGGTATTGCTTCTTGTGCGTGTTCAAATGTTCCCCAAGCAGGACTTCCGTTGAAAAGCTCTGGTTGCATAAAAGGCAATAGAATTGGCGAAGCTGGAACAAGTGTGCCACCTTCACGTGGAACTGGAAGTCTAACTCTGAGCAGAATACGGCGTTACAGGAGGTGCATTTTAATGCAATGTTCTCGTGACTGTGCTGCACAGAAAAGTGAGCCTGAATACTCACCTTGGAATCAAACAACTCTCTACACAGTGAACATCGGTACAAGGGGAGAGCATGGATTTCAAGAAGGTGCTTTTGAAGTTCGTCTGGTTTTGAGAATAGTTTCAAACAACACTGGCAACCATACTCTGTTGTTTTAGCCAAGAAATGATTGATCACGTGATTTCCTAGTTGTTCTTCTGTGAGAAATGAGCTGTGACATTCAGAGCATTTATACATCTGATATTCGCTACTCTGATGATTTTCCTGGTGCGTTCGGAAAGTTTCAAAATCCGGAAAAGGGGTGTTACATTGAACACACAGCAGAGGTAGTGAAAATGAACTAAGATTGTATGTTCTTCCTTCTGCGTTAGTAGATCCATGATTAAGGATTTTACTGTTTGTATCTTTCTGATATTCGTTGTTCTTGGACTTAGAAATGTTCAAAGTTAACACAGGAGTTTCATGTACAGTTTTAACATGTTCGGTTAGCTGAGCTACATTGGAAAATCTCATGGTGCACTGTGAGCAGTAAAAATTTTCCTGCGCAACCAAGTCAAAGGCACTCGTAGTGTGGGCATCGATCGAATGTTTCTGAAGTTTGTACAGATCATTAAATTTCATATGGCAATACTTGCAGTTAAACCTTCTATCTAAACTCTGAAGCTGGATGTGTTCTAGAACGTCCACTCGAGAGAAATGAAAGAAATCTCTACTAGGGGGCACATGGATAGCTTGAACATGAAGTTGAAGGGCTTCCAGAGAAGAGAAACTTGATTTAGAGCAAAATCCACATTCTAATTTTGGAGATAACGAATTAACTTTGGAATTGCCATGGAGAGTTTTCCTTCTTCTATCCTCGTGACTCTTTGAAAGAAAACAATAGTGATTTGAAATATAAGCATGCCTAGAGAGTTAATTGTGATTTGAAATATACACATCTGTAGGGAATTAGAAAATACTTGTGATTTGAAATATACACATGTCTAGAGAATTAGAAACCAGTTGTGAAATATAGAGAAGCAAGGTGGTAAAATAATACAGTTGTTTATATAATTCTACTATTTTTGTAAAAAAAAGTGAGAGGTATCTATTAGTTTTGAAATGAATAAGACGTACATAATTATACATATGTATGTGAATTTAAAAAATATCAGAAGTAATATGAGATTTAATGGATTTGAAATTGAAACCAACACTTCAAGATATACTCTATCTAAGCTATCAAGATTTAAGATCCCTACAACAAATCAAGTGAACTCGGAATCAGTAGCTTAACTACTCCTATATGCTGAAGGGGTTAAGGAAAAGGCCTAGCGAAGAAAAATATCTTGTGAATATATATTCGTAAAACTTGGTTTAAATACAATATATTATACTGGGATATCAGAAAACATAATTATTAGTTCAAAATATTTTCTTAAGAGGATAGTATATTAGAATTACATATGACAAAGTTTGGGATTTTAATGAGTAGCATTAACTGTATGGCTGATAATTTAAGCTTATTCGTGTAGATGTTACTTATATCATATCCTCACTGGAGGTAGTTTCAGAAATCAGTTGATGTTTATAGTGCAAAGTTACACAATAAGCTACCCGCGTTATGTCCGGCACAGGAATCGAACCCCCATATTTTTGCCTTGTAAATCTGCTGACCCACTAAGGTACAAGTAAGAACATAAAATTAGATACGAGAAGCCAATTTTAACTAAGCCTGACAATTTGTATTCTTTGACGAAGTCTTTGTTGAAGTAGCTGAGAAATCAGTTTAAAGTCTAAAAATTACACTTATTAACAATTGAAATATTATAATTGGTAATGTAACGCTTCTTTGGAGCTTAGAATATACAATGACTAAGAGAGCGTCACTACGATTAGGTTTGAAATCAATGTTAAGTCTAATAACTGGGTGTATACTGCTTGACAAAGTAGACATTGAAATTAACTTTGTTGAGTCCATTTGAGGCCTAACATATTAGCTAGAACGTCACTGATGTTTTGTTTTATTTGGAATAGTTGTAATTATGACTCATAATTTATAAAAGCTGATCACCTGCAAAACTACTATTGTATCAGACCCATTCTTAGTTAAAATCAGACCTAAAAGTATCACATTAACACTTTAATTTATGTATATTAAACATTCTAGACGAAATGGGTCTGGTTTTTAGGTGTTGAAATACTATAATCACCTTTTTATGTGCGAGCAAGTCATCAGTGCTATGGAATGTTTCTTGACAGAGGGAACATTTGTGCTGATTCTCCGTACGGTGGTGCTGTTCCAAATGTACTTTTAATGCATCGAAGGACGGATACACTAAACTACAGAATACACAGCAATAATTCATGTCGTTCGGATCTTCACGGTGAGATTCAGTGTGATTCTGAAATAAGAAGGCGAGTTCACAGTCGTTACAAATGATATACTGATGCAATTAAGACAAGTTACATTGTCAGCGACGGTAATACATCTCGAAACACACGTTTGAAACCTGTCATTTTTACATTTCTAATTACTGCTTAAGACAAACGATAAATTATTATTAGTTTTCTATATGCAGGCAGCATTAAAAGAACCGAAAATAGCACATGTGTACTAATGTGATGTGATCTTTTTCAAGAAGAAAAAATCCTAGGTGTGTGTGTTGAATGGATTATAAGTAAAATATTTCGTAGAAAATGATCAGTTTTATCTTTAACAGTAATATTGCATATATTATTATGACTATGATTGAAACCGAGTTTATCTTGAACTTATCGTGTCGAAAATTAAAATTAGGAGTATTGGAAATTATTTAGTTGTAACCAGTAATGAAATTATCCTTATAGAAACGTAGGTTGTTACCTTCGCCAACATCTGGTCTCATAGCAATGTTGGTATATCACAGGCTTAAAAGAGCTTCCATACGCTCTCCATATGCGGGTTATATTCTTAGGGAAGAGGGGGGTGTATTTTTAATTGAACAACTTTCTTTGGTTAGCCAGAAGTGGACACATGAATCAGGATTAAATTTATCAAAATGGTGCCTAACCAGTTTAAAAACTAACAGAGCAGGAGTCTTTGCCATTCATAGAGTATTTCAAAGTCAGAATCACAGTGAGACTAGGCTGACAGAAACCTCTTTGGCAATCAATGCTTGAAACTAAGATTGAATTTATAGTAGCCATAGAGAACTCAGCGGTTTCTCCACTTCCATAAAAAACAGAAAAGAAAAAATAGGTCGGTCTGAATACGGAAGGAGGGACTGTATATGGAGCATCAAGTTTTCTGCAAGTTAACTGTACTTCTTCATTCACTATTCAAATAGAACTGCTTGATTCAAGAATAATAATAATAAAAGCAATAAGCCCGCTTTGTTTGGATTTACAAAAACAACAGAAACAGAGTTCCAGTGAGTTTCGGCAGAATTTCACCCCGGATGTAATTTAAAAGCTTATATTTCTTACAGTTTTTAGACTATCTTGTAGAATAAATAACAATGATAAAATATCGCATCCTAATATTTTCTGCCTGTTTTTTTACTTTTCGCACCTGTTAATAAAGTAAAATATTAACCCTGAAAGTACCGATTTGTTTTTTGTACAGTTCGGTATCGATACTGTCCACATATTGTATCATATTGACTAATTCTATGCTGTGTTTTTTGTGTCACAATAATCAGTGTAAAGAACTGACCCAAAAACGAATGAAATTACTAAGTTTCTAAGGAAAGTAAACATGGCGCCTCAGCCGAAATTACTCAGATTAACTGTAACGTCCATGGTAATTTGTTTGATATATTATTTTGAGTGACTCAATACGTAATCAAAAAAGTCATGGATGTACAAGTAAGCAGGTTAGTGGTATAGACAGTTTAGAAAAATGCGTTTTAAAAGCAGAACCCATCAGTAGTTCTACAGTTAACATATATTTTTGTGTTTTTATCTCTCCGCAAAGAGACATACTGTTTTTTGTTTTTTCATTGTTTCTTTTTCTAAAAACTTTTCAATTGACCGTCATTCCTGGGCAGACTGATATCAAACTCGGTAAGGTTTTTATTATTTTATTTTCATTTAAGCGTTTTTAAAAATTTTATGAGGTAAAAGGTCAAACAACCCCAAAATATATGTTTGGACTCCTGTGATGACATATTTATAGCAATCGTGATGAGAACTGGCACTAATAAAAATTTTAATGCGCCCAAACTATTGGCATAAAAAAGTTGAATTTACCCATTTCGAGTCTTTTAAGGGGGCACAACCCACAAACAAGCATAATTTTGGGGTTTTGGTTAATTACTCAGCCACATTTTGACGAACTTACATGGGGTTTGGTGGAAAGATACTTTTCTACAGGTCCCACACATTGACAAACAAAAATGATGGACTTGTCTATTTTTAGTAATTATAGGAGGGGTCAAGATGCCATCCAAAGCATAATTCTGTGTTTGTTTTTTTATAACTACCCCGCCATATTTCAGCCAATTTACATGAGATTTGGTACAAAGATACTTTTTTGCAGGTTTCTTACAGAGATGTCAACAATTTTGGAAATTTTGTCTTTTGCTCAATTTTTCAGCAACAAAAGTATGATTTGGTTGTTTTTTTTTTGTTGTGTGTGTGAACTATTTCATGTGTACATGAACCAATTTACATGGGATTTGATACAAAGGTACCATATTGCAGGTCCAAAGCACTGATAAAGACACTTTTCGATTTTTATGGTGTCAAAATTGGCCATGTTGGAATTGCGTGGCGGACAGATGTTGCATTCACCCGCGAAAGTTGTCCTTAATAGTTGAAACATCCAAAACCTTTTTCGCCACTTTAACTGAAGTTAAAGCACATCTTCGCTGTTGGTCCCGGTTTTCTTAGGTTACTCTAATCTCAATCATTCAATTAGTTCACATTTTTACAATTCGCTCTTGGTAGCCTCTGAAGTGAGTATTCTATCAAAGCTACTCATTGCTGTAACAGTAAAAGATAGTTGTCCTGAATTAAATTTTATCCAGAAAAGATATATTTCACTGTCTTAAATTGTCTCCCCTTCATACACACAACAAAACTGTAGACTCTCTATGTCTGGGCTCTGTCTAGACTGTGTTTATTAATCCACTCAACTGGCCCGGCATGGCCAGATCGTTAGGGCGCTCGACTCGCAATCTGAGGGTGGCGGGTTCGAATCCCCGTCATGCTCGCCGTTTCAGCTGTGGGGGCGTTATAATGTGACGGTCAATCCCACTATTCGTTGGTAAAAGAGTAGCCCAAAAGTTGGCGGTTGGTGGTGATGACTAGATGGTTTCCCTCTAGTCTTACACTGCTAAATTAGGGACGGCTAGCGCAGATAGCCCTCGTGTAGCTTCGCGCGAATTTTAAAAAAAAACAAAAAAAACACCCAACTCTTGCCTTTGTGTCTTTTATGAAAAGGAAGAAAAAGAAAAATTTATTGCTTCAATGCTACTGATAATTGTGTTTTTTCAGACGATACGTCGTCTATGATAGCGTTTCTTAACTTTTCAATTCCAAGGATTGGTTCGCTGCCTTTCTAAACTCCCGTGGACCGCTAAAATGTAAGCACACTTTGAATATTCTCTCAGTTTTTTCATTTGTTTCTTCTTGTGAAATCCCACGAAACGGCAAGGTGCTTGTGGCGGAATGGACTGATGGTTGAGGAACACTGATCTGTGTAATCCATTAGAAATGACAGCTAAAGCCAGGCTACTTTTAATGTGACTGTCTATTGAACTTACTAGGGCTAACAGTTAGAGCCATGATAACTTTAATGGAATGTGTATGGAACCCATTAGGGTTGAAAGCTAAAGCTTAGGTGTTTTAATGTGGCTGTCTATGGAACCTATTAGGGTTGACAGCTAGAGCCAGGCTACCTTTAACGGGACTGTCTATGGAACCCATTGAGTTTCTGACGTGTTGACTTATTTTTGCTTCTTTCGTTTTATATGTTACGTCAGTAGTTATGACAAATGTCACCAACGTTCCAAACATTTACTGAAATAACTGTACTCTGCTATACTACTGTTCTAACTAAGAATACCTCTAAAATTAATATAACTCGAAGTAGAAAATACAATTATGTATTCATAGGCAAACAGGGGATCCATAACTTACCCATAATGCTCTTACACTGTTTACTTTATGTTATAGCTCTTGAAAGTTCTCTGACATACGTATTAAAACTTCAAACTGTGAACATGTACAGCAGTGCTGCAACCTGACGGATTTAGTTTAGATATTTTATGCATTTCCCTGTCAACTTATGAGTTTATGCGATTATCGTAAGGCATAACTATGGGACTTTTAAACGATAAGGATCAGTGTGTATGTGTGTATTTTATTATAGCAAAGCCACATCGGGCTATCTGCTGTGTCCACCGAGGTAAATCGAACCCCTGATTTTAGCATTGTAAATCCGAAGACTTACCGCTGTCCCAACGGAGGACTAATGATTAGTATAGATGTAAGATGCAGAAGTGGGGTTGATGGCTAAATATTTTATAACCGTTCGTACAAACAGAACTCGCAGAAATGAGGTTGACGGTATCCCACATCTGTATCAGGGTTTGGTTAAAATACAACCTGAACACGAATGCATTAAATAATTTTCCTTCCTGTAGTGATAAAAATATATAAAAAAACGTTTAATGAAAATTATTGAACTAGAGGAATGCATTATACGGTTTTTTTAGTTGTTTTTTCAACAAACGCATATTTTAACACAATACGAAGATTCTTAAACAGCTAAATAGTCGGAACTTTATAGTAATGTTTTATTAACTTTCTCATTTGAACGTGTTCATAATTGTTTTTATAAAATATACGTGTCTGTAATTATTGTAGAATACAGTTGTGAAATAACCAGCAACTATTAGAAAACTTGAAAAAACAAATGATTCAATATTTAAAAATAAGCTGATATTAGGAGTGTGCAAGTGTAATGAGGGTTAACCACACTATATAGAAACAGCTTTGTCGATCGTGCCCAGTCTGATGGCTATGGTTATATAGTGCTGCCCGATACAGGAATTTCTAGTATAATAAGCTTTTGCGAGGGACGGCGAGTTCAATCTTGAGAAACTTGACCCAGATCTCCCACTGTGTGTGAATGATGGCTTCAATTCAGGAGATTAAGAACACAAAAACTTCATTAGAGCTGTATCTGGAAACTGGAGTTTACGTGTTTGAAGGTGTGGTTCCAGTTTGTTTATCCATATTTTTCGTGAAAACTGATTTTATAGTGTGACTGAAAACTTGAGAACTTTAGAATTGTGAGCCTTCCTCAACTTCAAAACCTTGTTTATTATGTTGTTGAAGGTACCAGAAGACATGCCAATATCGTCGCAATGAATTTTGGATCAGAAGGTTTTCTGTTGAAGGTATCACAAGATATGCCAATATTGTCGCAATGAATTTCGGATCACGAAGTTTTCTGTTGAAGGTACCAGAAAACACGCCAATATTGTCGCAATGAAGTTTGGATCAGAAGGTTTTCTGTTGAGGGTACCACAAGATATGCCAATATTGTCGCAATGAATTTTGGATCACGGAGTTTTCTGTTGAAGGTACCAGAAGACACGCCAATATTGTCGCAATGAATTTTGGATCACAGAGTTTTCTGTTGCAACTTTTCAGATGAGAGCCATATTGCGGATTGGATTGAGAAGTGTTTCTCGAACTTGCCGCTGTACTAAACTCTACGGAGCGAGATTTTCTGCCTGTATGACTCCTTCAGCGTTCTGTATTACTTGATCCCACACTGTTTGATAATCTCGTTATAAGAATGTGCGTCTTCAGAAATAGTTGTGGCAAAACGATCCGACCATAGGAAACTGTGGCGGCATCGAACTCTCGATGCCACTGGGGGAGGGGGGGGGGGTCTGTCGAATGGTTAGGAATTTGAGGTGGATCAAATACATAGGTACTCAACATGTCTTCCATGGCGCCACAGTCTAATCTGCAGCAACATACCACTGCATTAGAATTGGCAAACAGTTCTCATAAAGTGTGATTAATCCTCTGTAGAATGTGGTTTGCCACGACCATCGAGGACATGGTGTGCAAGAGAACATGCAAGAAAGATAGCGCTAATAAACAAGAGTAAAATACGGTATAGTGTATTAAAATATCATATTTTGAATAAGATAATTCGATGACGAGGAACCCACTTTGAGACTAATAATGGCTGGAGACGGCTTGAATGGGTAATGAAGAAAAACTTTAATATAAGTTTAAGCCGTTTCCAGCCATTATGAATAAGATAATATTATAATCCTACCTTTAGCTCTTGAGATGAGCTGAATGACTTGGAGCAAAACAAACAACGGAAGGCTAGTGATGCTGGTGGGGTTCTTTCCTTTTTATGGCTTTGCATGTGCGAGGTGAGGGCAGCTGCAGTGTTGTACCCACGGTTGCAGACGGTGCACTGGAAAGGTTTGGCGTTGTCATGAGTCTTCATGTGGATCTTCAGGTGGTCACTTCGGGAGAAAGCGGACTCGCAATGCTGACAGCGGTACCGCTTGTCACCCGTGTGCAGCTTGATGTGCCGATCGCGGCTCCGCTTGTGTTTGAACAGGCGTTGGCAATAGTCGCACTTAAACTGCAATATACCGCTGTGTATCTGTACAATGGAAAGGTAATATTGATCAATCAGTATGCTGTTTTGAAAGAATAAATGCAAGTAAAAAAATAAAAATATTTATATCATTAATGATTCGTAGCAACATCTGGAAACTTTTGTCAAATGACAGAAGTTGCATGCACAAACTGTTCTGCATCCATATGAATAAAGTCACTATTTTAATACTGAACAAAATAGTAAGAAAAACCTGGTCCCTTAGAGCAGTGGTTTCCAAGCATTTTTCACTAACGATACTCTTACCCACTTAACTTGATTTGCGCGTCACTCTTACTGCCACATGCAATATTTTCTGTGGAATGTTTTTTTAAGTTCTTAATTATTCTTCGTTTGGCAAAACTCTCGAGAGATCCCTAGAAACTTGACGCGACACGCAGTTTTGAAACCACTCCGTTAGAAATTGTAAAAAAAAAATCCTAAATTATTCAAAGTAAAGCCTTTAATCGCTTGAAGTTGTAAGATCCTTGAAGGTGTATTTTACATTCGCAACAATTTAATCTTTAAATGGATCTTAGTATTAGAGAAAGAAATAATCGAATTGTTCCCAGAAAATGTTACTTTAGTTACTATGTATTTAGTGACAAGTGGGGTTAATAGTAGTGATGTAGCGGTGCCAATTAAATCCTACTCAATTTCCAGTTCTTGAGTCATATATAGGCTGCATTTTAAACCATTTATATAACCAACGAGCGTATTCGAGTCATAAAGCTACAGTTGATAAATTATCCACATCATAAAATCTATTATAATGATATTCAATTTTGGTCTGTCCTGAAAACGTGCGCGCACCTTACTTTCTAAAAGCGCATGCATGCGCATTTGATCACAACGGATATAAACAATAGGCGGATTAAGTATAATTTAGTAGACATTTTGTACAACAACATATTAGAAGCTTATCAAAGTTTTAAAAAAACGGTCTGACATTAGATCCTAGAACAACATTATAAGTTTATCTTTCGATAGTATTAAATACGGTAAAATTTAGCCTTACCTAAACTATAGCAAAAACGTACACACGTTATTGTGTTAATTTATCTCTTTATCAAATACAAGCAGAGGTAACCCGTCCCTTATCCGGGTTATGAACTTACAAAAATGTGGGCGTGGATGCTATGATAATTAACACAAAAACCATAACTTTCACATAATTTCTTTATAACATAACACATTATTATAGTATTCATTATTACCTCATCAAAAGTTTTGTCTAAGCTTAAATAATTCGGCCCGGCATGGCCAGGTGGTTAGAGCGCTCAACTCGCAATCGGTTCAAATCCCCGTCACACCAAACATGCTCGCCCTTTTAGCCCTGGGGGCGTTATAATATTATGGTCAGTACCACTATTCGTTGATAAAAGAGTAGCCCAATAGTTGGCGGTGGGTGGTAATGACTAGCTGCCTTCCCTTTAGTCTTGCACTGCTAAATTAGGGACGGCTAGTACATTAACCCTCGTGTAGCTTTGCGCAAAACAAACTAAATAACTCAATATGTATATATTTGAAACATGGTATACACTATGAGTTGGTCAGGGTGACTATGTATGAAAAGGTAGCGGCCAAATTAATTGGCGGTCACTAGCCACAGAAGCGTTTGACGGGGCGAAGTTGAAAGGTCACAGGTCAAAGTAGGAAGTGGATAAAATTCAGGAAACGGCTCTTCATATCAGTCTTATGGTGGCTGAGTTTATGTATTATTGTATTAGTGTCGGCCTTTTTTTTTCATTTCATTCCTCCACAGCGAGTGCTAACGCACTCTGTGAGATATACACTGAGTGGTCACAA